ATAACATGGGATGCAAGAGAATGACTGACTGTAAACTGGGCTAAAGGTGGGTCTTTATGCAAGCAAAGTGTTGCTTGTCTGCTGAATCAGATTGTGGCTTCCCTGTCATAAGCCCTTTGCAGAGAAATAACTGAATCAAAAAAATACGGTTCTTGCCTAAACTAAATGAAGGCAGCCAATCAGTAAAAGACGTATTCAGAATTAAGATACTGTATGATGGTGTGCGTGTGATTTTTTTTTTCTCATTCCTTTTAAGGTAATCAGACAAAAATTGTTATTGTTTAGTTTGTGAGTTTTCATTCATCTGCTCTGTCAGTTATTTTGCTTTTAGATTACCATTTATTCGCATTTTTATAGAATTTAATTTTAAATTTATAAGAAAAAAAATCAATTCCCTAAGAATATTGCAATAGGCATCTGGAGCAGTTCTTTGCAGCTTGAGCAGTTCTTTGCTGATAACAATATTCTGGGAAAATAAAACTATAATTTTGCTTGAGCAATTGCAGAGTCAAACTAGAACAAAGTAGTATGTGTTGTTGGCCGGTTTCCCAACTTATGGGTGTTAGTAATGTCAATGTTTGAAATTGGGAATAACATGCTGTCTCCTGAAATACCCACAACAAAAATAGCGGACTCAGGATGCGAGTCCACATAAAGAAATGACAAGAACTAATATGTATGTACAAAGAAATGATAATGTATTAACAACAAAAGGTTACAAGTGACAAAGATGTGTGTGTCAAATGAATGTGAAAACCTTTTTGGCCCAAAGTATGTGTAGTGAGTGAATGTGCTTATGTACGTATGTGTGTGTGTGTATTCATGTGTTTCCCAAAGGGAACATTTTCTCTGCGAAAGATTTACATGTTGATGAATAAGCGGACAAAGTAAGAAAAGAGAAAAAAATACCACAGAGTATTTATAGTCCAGAGAGTGTCTCCCAGTAGTGGTTTCAAAACATTAGGAAAAGGTAACCCGACATATGTCTTGGAATAAAGTTAATAATGTATGGAATTTAAAGTGGTGTGTTGTATGGCAGGTGTGTGTCTGTGTGTTCACATATAGTCAATTAAAGAAGTAACAAAATTTGGGTTTCTACAACAGATTGTTTAAACTTTTTTTTATAGTGGAAACTCTTGGATCATTTGCTGGTTCACAAATTAGGGTAAGTAAGGATAAGAATTGCAATAGTGGTCAAACTGAAGTCAGCTTTGCATTGAGTTGGAACAACCAAAGGAAGGGTGTACTTACTTCATCACTGGAAGTTTAAGCATCATTATAATGGTAAAACTCAAGTTAGCCTTGCATTGAGTTGGAATGACCAAAGTAAAGTTTGTACTTACTTCATTTGTGGAATTTTGGTAAAATCTGTGGAAACACTATACATTGGAAAGTGGAAAGAGAATTCAGTTGTCAGTTGACCAGAGTAAAAAACCTTCCCAGCAGTGCTGTCTTTTTTCCACATTGTGTTACATCTTGCGATAAGGGGGTGAAAAAAAGAGGAAGGAAATGTTTGTCTTTTTGTAGAACTTAAACAGTGCCATCTAATGGGTGCTTGGCAAAACCAAATTGGGTAATAAAATTTTCAGTTTCTTTTTTCTAGGTTTTCAGATAAGAAAACATTTAACCATCTTGACATCATTTGTCATAAGAATTACTGAAAAACCCTTTGAGTTAGCTAGAAAGAGAACAGGTTAAAATCATTTTCTCTCAGTTAGAAAGATATAGTGATATCTTCCTAACTGAGCAATGGTGAGAGGAAAAATATCATTCAGGCCTTCAGTAATGGTACGTACATTCATATTCTGGCTTCCATCTTCAAAGTTCATTCAAGAACCATCAAGAGAATGGTGAATAATTTTAAAAGAGGGAGCAGTAGAGAAGAAAACTGGATCAGGGGGTCACAACTCATTTTGTGTCAGCTTATAGGATCCAGACCCTATATTGTTCTCAAAAATTCAAAAACTAAACAAAACATAGGCTCCAAATTAAATTAAACAACTAACAAAATTTGATTGGTTCAAAAATATCACATGGCATATCATCAACTATGTCTGCATGTCTAACCTTAATTTGATCTTATCAAAGGTACAGTTGCACTAAAATTTTAAAACATTTTCTGGAGCCTATCACGTGACTTATATTGTTTATATAAACAATAAAAAATTAAGAAATGGTGAGTGGAGGAAAAATCAGCCAAAAAAACTACACGCTACATGACAATGTTCATCATAAAATAACTTTCAATTGAAGTCCAGACTATAAGTTAAAAATTCCTTTTTAACATAACCACAGTCTATTTCCTTCATTCAATGCAAACTAAACTCACGTTGACCAACAATGAAGCGACAGACACTCAAACGTCAAACACAACGTAAGTCACACCCACACATGCTTTTTCTACAAACTTTGAACTGTTTATTTTGAATACAAACAATATTACATTGAACTGAATTTTTCCAAATTTACACAAATTACCCTACAACTTGCATTATATCAAACTGGAACATTACCTCACACAAAAATCAAAAGAGACAAGTTCATTTCACCATTTTAAACAACGTTCATAACTATTGTTTTGTACATTTGTTATATAAAAATCTATTTTTTGTACAATTTCTCTTGTCTGAATTTTCTTGTTTCTTGTTGTTGTTGTTATTTTGTGGCATTGTGTCTAATATAAATTAGTGAGGTCACTTGACTCCCACAAGCCTCATTATATTTTCCCAACTGTGCAATGGTGAGAGGAAAAAGATCATTCAGGCCTTCAGACATTCATACTCTGGCTTTCATTTTCTAAGTCCATTCCAGAAAAATCAAAAGAACAGTGAATAAGTTTAAAAAAGAGGGAGCAGTAGGGAGGAAAACTGTATCAGGAGGTCACAAACAGGAAGAGGGATCATCATTTCAACTTAGAGCTAAATACATTCTTATTGTTCAAAGTAGAGTCCAATAGTGTTATAAAAACCCTTGTCAAATTCCAGTAAGATATCTTTAATCATTTCTAAGATACACCAGTTCAAAGCTTAATCTAACATCCAGACAATTTTACTGTTACACAGTTTTGACAATTTTGTTTTTACACCCCATGTGTTTGCATATATATATATATATATATATATATATATATAAAAAATTATGCTAATTAGTCCAATTAATAATTTCATCCAGTTGAGTGTTTTTGAGATTATATTTAGTTTCCTCAACAAATTGAAATTTGGGTTCAATCTGAGGAGCAAAAAGTTTGATTAGTCATTAAAAATCTCATTACTCAGATGAAGTCAGAATAAACACAATCCACACAATATCAATTGTGCAAAATCTGTTTTTAAGTTATTGCTGGATTAATTAGGCAATCGATCGAAGGCTTTTGATAACCTTTTGGGTTTTGGTTCTGATTCAAAATCTAAGTAGGGATCAACAATAATTAAAAGACTTCAAAATTTAAACTTTCAAATCATTTTTATTGAATATTCACAAAATTATTAACATTTGAAACTGATACATTTTTTTCAAACACATTGTAAAAAAATAAAAAAAAATTAATTAAGCAAGTTAAAGTGCTTAGAATCATTCATAATTTCAGCCAATGATTTTTGTGATTGTACCTTCAAGAGATACAATAATCTTGTTTCTAATTTCATTTTGTCTAACAAAACAAAGATTTCAAATGGTGTTGGCAAAGAATGCTATAACCTTCTTAGAGCCAAATATTCAGTGAATTTTTTTTATCATTGTCGAGCTTAGAGCTAAATACATTGTTCAAAGTAGTCGAATAGTGTTATAAAAACCTTGGAGAATTCCAGTAAGATATCTTTAATCATTTCTAAGATAACGGTTCAAACCTTATTAATCCGACATTTCGTCCGAGTGGGCGTACAGATAGACTTTGGATTTTGCTACACAAAAAAATATGAAACTAAACAAAATAGGAATATGAGGCTAGGTAAATAAATATAAGGGAGATAACTCAATGTTTCGTATGCAAAAAATGTTCGAACTTTAAAATCAACAATAGACGTTTATTTATAAATAAAACTTTACTCAGGAATTATAAAAAAAATGGAAACTGATTGGAATATTTCTTTTCATTATTGTACTTAAAGTCTAACAAAAAGTAAATAATAATCGAAGAAAGCTGATGAAAGGATTTGAGATGAAAGTTGAATTATGCAATAAACCAGTTTCACAAAATATGCTCTCACTTTAAACTTTTTAATCAAAGACATATGCGTAGGAAAATAGTCACTTCGTCTGATTTCATATTTGACAGATTTAACGACATATCCAGTTTCTACATTTAAAACAAAACTATGTCAAGTTCCTAATTACGTCATGTCGTTATACACAAGGTTCATATTTTTTCTGTAAATACCATTAACAAATTTTGGAGATATAAAATATATAAAATACCTTTTGAGGTTGCTGCAAGTATTTAAAACTATAAATAAACCTTTAGTCAAGTTTACTTAATGGATTTACGACACTGGTTTTCTTTTACGGCAAATACTTGTTTGTGCGGAAATTTTGAATTGTTGAAAGTCTGACTTATTTTATTTAACCAACTTTGTTTTGTATACTTCAGTCATTTTTTTTTTAGTTACACTTTTAAACTTAATATTTGACTTGATTATTATTATTTACTTTAAATATTAATAGGAATAGACAATATATAATTAAGTCAACTTTGTGTTCGGTTTTTTACTTTCACTGATCGAATTTCGATTTTATTTTAAATTTGATTTAAGGAAATATTTTTTTAGAAGTAATTCTTAGTAATTGTTTTAATTTTTTTTTTTTAAAGTACAAAAATGTCATTAAAGTAAAATTATTGTAAGAAAGCTATTTTAGGGAATTTTTAATTTTTTAACATTTTTTTTTTGAAGAAAATTAATTTAAAACAAAAATACAATTAAAAAGAAATTTAATGATGGAACAGGTTTCTGATTTAGAATCTGCTCTTCCGTGTGAATCTTCTTCACCTTTTTATCATATTGAAGTGGCTTTAAAACCAGAAAGGTAAGTAAAATTTGCATTTTTGAATTTAAAAAGTAACATTTTTATCAAATATTTCGTTTTTTTATGACTTTATCTTTTATTTTTCCATTTATTGATTGAGTTAACTACTCTCAAAAAATATTTTTTTTATTATGACGAACGAAAACTAAAATAATTTAAATTTACTTTAATATTTATTTTATTTGTTGTCTTTTTACGATTATTTTTTTTGCAATTAAATACCACAATTAAAATTTCAAAGATATTTAAATTATTGCAATATGTTTTAAAATACTTTAATAAGCGGTTTCGACAATAATTAGAATTAGAGAGAGATATCCATTTCACTTGTTTCTTGTACGTCTTTTCTTTGTGTTTAAGTTAGCTAGTAGAGAATTAATGTCCGTTTCCTTGTTTAATACAAAGTATCTTGAATGGGAAGGTTATTTTCATTCAAGAACAACATTCAAACTAAAAAGAGATTTTCTTTTCCATTTAAAAAAACATAGATATTTTTAATTGAGTGCTACTAACTAAAAAAAAAAAACTGTCCGGTAAAATTTAGGACCAAGGAAGGAAAAGAAAGCCAATTGACTGTAAGTTTGTTATTACACAACCCTTGCAAATATTGACTGGGAACCTATTAATTGATCTGTGCTTCTAATCATTGACTTATTTATTTTACCTATACAGTCGTCATCGCTCTGTCATTTGAATTAGTAAATTACTGAACTGATATGGCGGAGAGAGAGAGTATTTTCTAGATGGGTCTCAACATTGGTCATAATGTCATTCAGTGAATCATTTGGACAAATTTTTAAATTTAAGGCAGTTCCTTATCTTTGTTATTTTATGGCCAGAATTTAATGAGTGAACCAAATTGGGAATATGAGAAATATTTCAATAATTTAATAATGCTTAGCTTACATCTTTTGGTTTACAATATAAAATCACCTCAAAGCTGTGATTAACAAGATAGTCTCACAAATGATTACTGCTTAATTACGTTAATTTGAATCTTATTAGGTGGTCTATGCCTGTAAACCTTGTGTTAGACGAAGTTAAATATTTTGAACACCTTCTCCGACCAGACAGTTGCTCCTATCACTGGTCAGTATGCTAGTGAAGTGAGTTCAATGTTCATTGAGTGCTCCACTGCAGTAGCCTTATGCCAGATTTTGCTGAACTTTGGTATAACTAGTCAATTTTTAAATATTTATATTTATGAAGATCAGTTAGTTTGGTATAAAGTCAATTTATAGGAGGAAGATTGAGGCAACATGATCTAAGTGGGTATGTCCAGCCTGTCTTGAAAATTATCATTTGAAATCCTGACTTTCATCTGAGCTTCAACACTGATAGTGATAATTGATTCTCTCTTATTCTCCCCATCTCTTGCTATTAGCTTTAACAAACTGGCAAGTTTAAAGTATTTATTTTTTTTATTGCTGAATAATTAATAGAAATGGTTGTCTACATTTTTATTTAAACTTGTTATTTTTATTTTTTTCCAAGTACTGTTCGGAAATCTTTCATCAAAGAACAGGTCTTTGCTTATCTGTCTCGACAAAAAGTAGCCTATGGGAATTTTGAAGTTGTAGATTTTGAAAATACAGAACTCCAGAAACACGTGAAAAGTATTGCTTTGTGTGACACAGACTTGAAATTACGGGAACGAAAGGTAATTTTTTCTTCTTACATGTTGAATAATTCAATATCTTAGATATTTGCATAAGGACATAATTTATTTGACAGATTTGGATGATATAACTAGGATTTCATGTCATTTTCCTGGTCGTTTTTTAGCCTTTGTTTTGTGTTTCTATTTTAAAAGTACATGTTTAAACAAAGGAGAGAAAAAAATGATGTAATGAATATGCATACACCTGGGTTCCCCCTCACAGTAATATGATTGGCTGGTGTCAGCCATAAATACAGATTGATGTGGAGGTACATGGACTACGCCTATTGTCTTTGCTTATTGCCTACCACTACGACGAGGACCAGTCCATTACAATTACCTGCTAGATTGTCCTACCCGGTTACAATGTCAACAATCACTTTACTACAAACAAATATATCCCTTTCTGGGACATATCAAAAAAGGAAAAAAAAAAAGTGTCATATGAGTTGAAATGGTTTTTTTTCTCCGGCTGAGAACTTACAACACTTCATAATTTTATTTGCTATAAACTTTAAAAAGTAATTAACAAGACTAATTTATAATTTGAGGGATTTCTACAGAATGGCTCTAGCCTCACTCCATTCGTTACTCAAATTAAACGAGATTTAATCTAATGTAATTGGTATACTATTGATAGTTTTTCAATTAGATATCTTAAAAGTTGATCTACCAAATTTTTGCCTTTGTATGAATTCAAGCTAAGAGTCAACCAGGTGTCAAAATGTTTCACATTCATGATTTCCCTGCTTAGCTTCTTAGACATATTTGTTTTCAGTATGAATTATAGTTGTATGTGTTTCGACAATGATAAAATTCACTGAATATTTGGCCCTGAGAAGGTTATAGCATTCTTCGCCAACACCATTTGAAATCTTTGTTTTGTTAGACAAAATGAAATTAGAAACAAGATTATTGTATCTCTTGAAATCACAAAAATCATTGGCTGAAATTATGAATGATTCTATAGAAGCACTTTAACTTGCTTAATTAATTTTTTTTTATTTTTTTACAATGTGTTTGAAAAAAAATGTATCAGTTTCAAATGTTAATAATTTTGTGAATATTCAATAAAAATGATTTGAAAGTTTAAATTTTGAAGTCTTTTTAATTATTGTTGATCCCTACTTAGATTTTGAATCCATTGCATAATTGATGCACTGATATTGTGTGAATTGTGTTTATTCTGACTTCATCTGAGTAATGAGATTTTTAATGACTAATCAAACTTTTTGCTCCTCAGATTGAACCCAAATTTCAATTTGTTGAGGAAACTAAATATAATCTCAAAAACACTCAACTGGATGAAATTATTAATTGGACTAATTAACATAATTTTTATTATATATATATATATATATATATATATATATATATATATACACACACACACACACACACACACGAGGTGTAAAAACAAAATTGTCCAAACTGTGTAATAGTAAAATTGTCTGGATGTTAGATTAAGCTTTGAACCAGTGTATCTTAGAAATGATTAAAGATATCTTACTGGAATTCGACAAGGGTTTTTATAACACTATTGGACTCTACTTTGAACAATAAGAATGTATTTAGCTCTAAGTTGAAATGATGATCCTTCTTGCTATTGTGACATCCTGATCTAGTTTTCTTCTCTACTACTCCCTCTTTTAAAATTATTCACCATTCTCTTGATGGTTCTTGAATGAACTTTGAAGATGAAAGCCAGAGTATGAATGTTGGTACCATTACTGAAGGTGTGAATGATCTTTTTCCTCTCACCATTGCTCATTTGGGAAGATATAGTGGGGCTGACACAAAATGATTCTAACTTGTTCTCTTTTAAGCTGAATAATTCAAAGGGTTTTTCAGTGATTCTTACAAGAAATGGTGTCAAAATGGTTAAAACGTTGTCTTATCTGAAAACTTGGAAAAAAGAAACTCAATTAGATATTAAGCATTTTGTGGGATGGACAATTATCCCATGCTGTTACATGATTTGGAAAATTTTGTTGTGAGACCCTGTGTGTGTATGTGTATATATATATATATATATATTGAAATTTTTTTAATTTGTTGCTGGTTAAATATAATATGCAGGTAAGAATAAGTCACCATTTTGTATTGGGATCTTACTGTATTAATACCTATTAATATGACTGAGTGGACATTTTATAGTAAATGTTTCATACTTCTGGAACATTTGTCCCAGAAACAATATTGGTGGACTCATGTGAGTCTGGGTAGAAATAGGAAACATTAAACAATGAATTTAAGACAAATGGCATTTAATGCATGTGTTAACAAAAGTATTTGTCTATGTACACAATTGAAATAAAAGGAAAAGATATTAAAACTAATTATAAGAATCTGCTTGCTTTTGTGTGTGTGTGTGAGAGAGAGAGAGAAATGTGTGTTAGAACGTTTGTGCATGTGTGAGAGAATTCAAAAATTAGCAGAGGATCAAGGAAGTAAATATGTCCTGTCAGCAGTGTTCTTTATCTGTTCGACTACATATGAAAGCAAGAGAAAGAATAATGATTGCCTTTTTACATACTTAAAGAGTGCCCTCTAACAAGCACTTTTGGTGGAGCCAAGTTGGGTAACTCACAAATTTGTGTAAAATTTTTAAATTTAAAAACTACTGAACTATTTGTCATTGGCTGATGAAATATTGAACAATAAATTTCTTTGTTTCAATTATTATTTTAAAAATCTATTTTCCTAATTTTCTTTTCAATCTTCATTTCAGAGTATTGATCTACAAGACAGTAATTTGAAAGTGTATGTGTTTCACTTGCTTGATGATGGTCCATCCGATGAAGATTTGGGAGATTGCGATAACTGCAGTGTTGCACAGATGTGGTCTTTACCAAATTCTGCATTCTGTGGAATATGGGAACATTTGGTTTTTGATGAAGAAATTAAAGGACGGGTGAGTTCCTGATCTCATTCTTGTTTAGAAAAAAAATTTTTATATGAATTTGGCCCACAAAAACCTTTTGTGTGTTTTGTTACAGTGTAACAGACATTGTGTGTAATCAGACTATAAAAACCAGTAGAATGGATTGAACTTAATTTTGGCTCGTGCAAAATTTCACTAGGAGTCTAATTGGTATATTAGAATTCTATGATGAACAAAAAATGTTATTTTAACTTAGATCACATGTCTGACAGGTCTCTGTCAAGGTTGATAGTAGGTATAATAGCATTTCACAGCATGAATAAGTAAGGAAGAATTATTTTTAGTCTTCTCTCTTTTAAAGTATGTGGGTACTAGCAGCATGGCCTGGCGTTGCCCGTGCTTGATTCAAAAATCGTACAGCAATTGCTTTCACTTGACTTAGAATATTTTTGCCCTTCCTTACCTTTAAAGGAGTGCCCTTTGCCGTGCTGATGTTGCTACATGCCTTACTTCTTGCCTATCTCACACTGCAAATTCTTTCTAAGCTCTATACTAAACATTAAATCTGTTACGAAAAAAGAACTAAACAAAATGAACACAAAACGATCAGCTTTAAAAAAGGAAAAACTGAATGAAAAAAGAATGTTAACAACAAATACTTTTTCACACCCAACCCAGTTCTGTGGAATCAGAATCAACGTTGAGTTTAAGTAAGCGAATGAGCCAATTGGAGTAAAGTGCCATGCAGATTTAAATTTTTCCCACTTGTGATGAATGCAGCTTGCACAAAGGCTCAATCTCTCTCTTTTTTTTCTTTTTTATCAATCATTTTAGCATGTAAGTGAAGAGACATTTTTTAACATATGACAAAGTGGGTTCATGCCTTTCTCTAATATATTAGTGTAAAGTGAATATATGCAACTTTTAATAAAAAATGTTTTTTTTTTTTTTTTTTTTTTTTTTTCAGTGTTTTTTTCAAAATTTGCTGATATTTTACTTTGAAGTGTATAAAGAAAACTGATTTTTTTCTTTTAAATTGTGCAATAATATTGTTGGGCCACACAATTGTGATTAGACCATGTCAAGATTAAGGCCTTATTTGTTACATTCACTTACACACAAATACCCTTGGGAAAGGCATGAATCGATCTCTTCCCTCACTCTCTTATGGGTTGGATAACAGGACAGGCTGGGTCCAATAGCCTTGGTTGGCAACCAGTCTACCACAGAAAGAAATGGCAACCTACTGTGGGAAAATATTCTGCCAAGTTAGCCATAAATTGAGAGACATGATTGCCCAAGCGTGTATCATGATAATGATCAAGATGAGGATACTAATCTTAAAAAGGTGATTAAAATGTATCCAATCATTTTAATATCAATGAAAAATAGAATGATTGAGTTTAGGCATTGGTGACTTAACCCCCTTGAAAGGTTTTTTTTTTTTTTTTGAGACTTCATATACTTATTACAACTTCTTCGACCTTTCCAAAAATAGGGATTGCCATCAGTTTCCTAATTTTATTCTCCCTAATCGTGTCCATATTGCATTAGTGAGATTTTTGGCTTTGGGAAAAGCCAGAAGTTGCAAGGATTCAAATCTAACCGATAGATCTTGTTGATGCAATGTTTTGCCAAAAAAAAATGTGCATAAAAAATTTGTTCACTTGGTCATTGTGAATGTGACATTCACACAGTACACAAACTTTGAGTAACCCACAGGAGAGTATCTGCTTATATATGAGCAGTAAAGTCCCTTCAGACGGGTTGACATGTTACATGAAGGCCATGCAACCAGTTCTCAAGATATTTAAAATGACTGAATGTGTTTCAGACAAACCTCATATAATAATAATTCCTCATGATAGAAATTCATACAGAGATACTAATTACTGCGCCAAAGTGTTTGGTAATTCATGAAGTCAATATTTTTTTGACTGGTCTGTTCTCCAGCTTTCTACTGGTGAAGAGAAAACTATTGACTAAGATACTATTGACTAAGATACTATATAAACCTGAGAAAGGCTAGAAAACTGGACCAGTTTAAATGTGTTCAAAATAAAATGGAGGAAAATACTTTGATTATTCGATTTATTTGCACCATTGTTCTTATCTTAGTTTGTTATAGACATGAGACATACACTCTCTGGTCAAAATAACAAACACCTGATGATGGCCAGTTGCTAATTGGCCAAAATGTCATGCCTGTAAGTAATATTGGGAACAATAGTTTGAATAAATCAAATAAATCAAAGTAGATTGACAATTCCTCCTTCTCTCAAAAAAAAACTTTATAATAATACTTATTTATAGATTCTATGGTATAACAACATGGTAATAATCTTTTATCTTTTCTGCAGCTTCTCAGTTATGCTATGACAACACTTCTTTTCTCTGACCAAAAAGTTAACTGCAATATAATCTCATGGAACAGAGTTATTTTATTACATGGTGAGTATTTGCTCTTTTCTTTCTACTCTTTTGGGATTTCATATCAGATTTGAGAAAAAAAGGAATGTACATTGCAAAAATTTCATTGTTTAGCTCAAGTTTATTCATTACTAGCATAAAAACCACCCTATCGGGCGGCACTTAAGCTAGCTCCTGCGGTGGGCTCTTGATTAGGCCTTCATCACAATAGGTAGGGAGGAGAACATGCAATAGGCAATAATAAACTACAGAAGAACTCAAAATTGATTGCTGCATTTATGTATTGCATTAATATTTAAGCTAACCTTTTAAAAGTACAATGATAATTCTTCTGCTGCCACTTAATTTAAAGACGTAGGTCCTTACTTTCTGTACAAACTGGATTTCACAATTAATTTCAATTATTCCCAAATTTATTTCCAAGTTATAAAAATTGTTATTGTAAAAAAAAGAATACTGAAAACAATCACATTAATGAAAACTTGGGAATTCCAAATTTCAGGATTGCGGATCCAGTCTAGAATGTTTTTAATTTGCTTACAGAGCCGGCCTGATTCCAAAATGGTATGATATGTTGGGCTATGGCCTCTATGAGTAAAGTTGGAAAAATGTGACACATTGATGCACTGAGATTCACATTTATTGTATAGATTAGAATTTTAAAATTCTGATAATCATTTTAATTCTCAGAAATATCTCTTGTCATGGTAACGTTATATGCTTTGCTTCAAGTGTTAATAAAAATTTATCTTTTTTTATATAAAATGTACAGGTTCTTTTTAGATGGGTGCAACTTTATTAAAATATTTCTAGGTATTACATATAGAATCTGGTATTTTTTTCTTTCTCTTGTGGAATCTGGTATTTTTTCTTTCCTCGCTAAAGGTGCCCTCAATCTGGCATTAGATTGACTGACTAGGTGGTTCCTTTCTGTTGTCATCATCGATCACTTATTGCTTTATATTTTGGAGATTCTACCCACCACCTCTTTGACTTATGGCCACATCATATTTGAACATTGGTTCCCATATGGTCACCAAAGTTAAGCAATGTCAAACCTGGTCAGCACCTAGCTGTAAGCTTGTATGTGCGCATAGGGTAATGGATAATGGCTTAGAATTGTTTATCAAAAAGTCAAGTTCCAATTCAGTTTATTAAGTAAATTTTCTACTTAATAAGCAAACAAACTTTTTGGCCAACCTGATATGTACTATTATGGTGATTTTTTTTCTAAGTGCAACTTAGATGTGGCACAAGGCCAAAAGTATTGGATACCCAGTGATGATTGAACTCGCTACTCAGTTCTAATGTTTCTAGTGAGACAAGTTTGCTAGCCATTACACCATGTCAATATGTACTGTTATGAATATACAACAAAAGTTCTGAAGATGTGAACAAACACTGAAATATTATGAAAAAATTTTTTTTTTAATCAAATTTCATTTGTTTGCAACCATTGGTACTACAAAGTGTCATGAGAAGCTTCTACTTGTGTTTTTATTTGAGCAAAAGTATTAAAAACATTCACTTGCAGCCTCACCAGCACCTTTTCAACATTGTATTTTGGGAACTAATATGTAACCTTGACATCAGGTTGGCTGCTGGAAATAATTCAAAATTGACATCAAACTGCTTCAAAGGGCTTAATTCCTGATTTTGAATTATCCTTCTCTTAGACTAATTGTCAACTAAGTCTAGAGAGCTTAGTTTACCCTACTATTTTACCCATAGTTAGGAAAAAGAACAGATAGATTCATGTCCTTTCCAAAGGTTATTTGTGTGAAATATATATGGAGGACTCTCCTGTTGTTTTTTTTTGTTTTTTTGTTTTTTTTTTACATATGAGGATGATATAATGGAATATGCATACACCTGTGTTCCTCCTCACTGGAATATGATTGGCTGGTGTCCGTCATAAATATCAACAGACATGTAGGAGAGTAAGAGCCTTAGTCTGAGAGCTAAGTCTATAACGACACCCATTGGACTACACCATTGATCTATACTTCTTACCTGTGACTACGACGCGTACCAGTCGATTACTGCTACCATATTCTACTTGGTTATAGTAGCCAAAACCACTTAGCTACTTCATTCAAATATATCCCTTTCCGGGACATATCAGAGGGTTTAACAGCTCAGTTCTTAGAACCTAACAGCTAGGCCATGTGCACATATTTATAGTGGTGAAGGCTTGTGTAGAACTGACCACAACTTTTGGAAGAGCCAAATACAGCAAACTGATGCACAGCTTGCCACAAGGTCCCCAAATGACCCTCCTCAAGTTTTGAATTCAGAGTTGTTCTTCTAGACCACTTGTCATCCAAGGCTATAGGAAACACTCTTTCTTGCTATTTATCCATAGCTGGGAGGAGAAATGTTCATACCTTTCCAAAGGGTATTTGCACTTAAATCGATTTCGACTCTGCAATTCCTTAATCTGAGCTGCTATCTATTGCACAGGAGAGTAATTCCTTCCTTTGCCACTTGAAGCCGAAACATTTAAGTCTCTGTATTTTAATCATTTAAGTCTCTGTATTTTAAACATTTAAGTCTCTGTATTTTACATTTTACATTGACCACTTTTATTTGTTTTACTACATGTGAAAGTTTTGTTAAAAAATATATAAAATGGGCTTGTGTGACATTTTGTTTTGCATAACAATACTTTATTATCAAATATAGAATATAATTTTTGTGTGTTTGTTCTGATTTCAGGTCCTCCAGGAACAGGCAAGACTTCTTTATGTAAAGCATTGGCCCAAAAGATTTGTATTCAGATGTCAGATCGATACAGTTATGGTTACCTTATTGAGCTAAACAGTCATGGTTTATTTTCTAAATGGTTTTCTGAGGTAAGATAATCAAAATTATATATTTTGCAGACTTAGTGAAGCTTAATTTTAACTGTTCTAAAGATAAATTCATTTGTCTTTTAAATAAAGAAAATTTTTCTCAGCTACGATCAGCAGTTCTTACCATCTACCATTCCTTTAGAAAAGTAAATCCCATTTTTTTTTAGTTTTTTTTTTTTTTTTCCTCCAGTGGATAGCAGAAAAGATATTAAATACAAGTGTATGCTGAAAAGTTCTTGTCTTTGTCAGATGAACTACATTCCTTAGTTCCACCAGTTCTCACCTTCATTGCTAGGACCCACCTGCGCCATGCTACACACATTAGAGTGAACCACCCTCATTCCCTCTATATTTCGTTGGTGAGAAGTAAGTCCCACTCTCTAGCATCTTCTTCCCACTGATCACTGTGCTATGGAACTGACTCCCAAGAGGATGTTTTCCTGATCACTATAATCTTAACCTGTTCAAGTCTAGGGTTGACAGTTATCTTCATTACCTATCTGCATAAACTGTGCCTCTTACTCTGTAACCCTCTACCATGAGTGGCTCCTGGGCCTTGTACAAGGAGAACCTCACTAAAAAAAAAAAAAAAAATCTGAAAAAAGGGGTGAGAGAGAGAAAAGCACTTACACCCCAATCCCAATTTGATGTTTTTTTTTTATGGGGGTTAAATTTTTGGAAGGGAGTCAAGCTCTGAACATGTCAGCCTCCCATCATTTTTCAATAATTTCTGGAAAATCGTGAGACAATGTCAATACAGCATCTATTGAACCCCAAAGAGGCAAAAATGTTAATTTCTACATCTGATTGTAGCAACAGTGAGAAAATGTACTTGGAAATGTACTAAACTTTGCTTAGTCTGGCACATGGCCCAAAATTAGAGAGGGACAAAATTAGGGTAGAAAAAAAATGAGTTGTGCCAAATGGGGAACAACTGCATACTTCAAGTATCAACATTTAAAATTTTAGTTTATCTCTTTGGATTGGATATTGACCACTGGCATTGGTAAGAAATAGACAAGCCCTAATGAAAAATGTTCTTGGTTTTCTTTGAAGCATTGCATGTGGTAGGTTAAAGTAATTTTTATCTTTTTTTTTTTTTTTTTACATAAACTTCATCATAGTTTAAAGGCATGGAGTGTCTATAGATTGGATATTATTAAGTCATGACACACATTGCCATACGAAAATGAACAATATTTTTTCTTTTTTAGAGTGGCAAACTTGTTGTGAAAATGTTTGAGAAGATTGAAGAAATAATTTTGGATAACGATGCATTAGTGTTTGTTTTGATGGATGAGGTGAGTTTTTTGTTCTGGCTAATGCTTCATTTACGTATTTTTCTTTGTAAAGAGTGGAATTGGAAAAGAAATTTTGATATTCACACACACACACACACACACACACACACACATATGTATTAAGTTGGATTGATGTGAAACTCACGTCATTCCAACTGAATATGTTAGCTCTATCCCTGATATTGAGCACTTTCCTATAAGTACCACGCATATATATGTAAAAATTGCATGTATATATATATATATATATATATATATATATATATAATTTTTATTATAAGAAATTATAATAAAAACATTTACATTGCTACACAAAAGCCTTCATGTTTCAATACTATGATTGTACTTCCTCAGGTGATGGCTGGCAACTGTTGATGAAAATGATTTATTAGGGAATTTAAAAACAAATTGCTACCTCTTTTCGGAAGTTAAAGGTGGGGGGCACAAGGTCATAATTAAAATTATACTAGTGGGCATGTCTTGATTAACCAATTAAAAGTCAGATCTATGCTAAAATAGAAAAATAAGGTCAGAGGGTGGGGGTAGGTGAGTTATTTTTTCATGTCACGATAAACTGTCGCTTAGACATGTCATCAAACAGTTGTATCAAACATGGCAGTGACAAATATATTATGGATGTAGCCAAGTATGATGTTCTCATTTGTTGAAGCAGTGGAGGAGATTAATCTGACATGAAATTCCTTATCCTATTTTAATCCATATTTGATCCCAATTCATATGGATTTTATTTTTTTCATTTTTTTTTTTTATGGAAAAATTTTAAATAAAAATCCTCTTTAACATTGTTTTATTTTATCATTTTTTTTTTTTTCAATTTGACAGGTTGAAAGTTTGACTGCTGCCCGCAAAAGCAGTCTAAATGGAAATGAACCTTCTGATGCCATCCGAGTGGTGAATGCGCTTCTCACAAAGATTGATCACATCAAAAAGTACACCAAATATTTTTTTTTAATCTGTTTGTGGTTCTAATTTGTTTTATAGTTTTTAACATTGGTTTGTCTTTGCAAACAGGTTAGAATGATGAATTCAAAAAAAAAAAAGACCTACAAAAATATCAAACACTGGGAAATGGTTTAAAATGGGCCACTGGGGATGCAAGGAATTTGAAATGAGAGTTTTTATTAATGACGAGTAAGTTTTTATTTTTAGTCATAAAACGAAGGAATATAAGTGTTGGCTGAAAAGTTCATCTGACCGAGATACTTTCATGGAATGTAACCAAATGAGATTTATTTTTCAACATAGACCCCCCCCCCTCCTTGCAGTTCACACACTTCTTCCATTGTTGTTGCAGTGCTTGGATCTAATTGGTGTAGAAGCTTTCATCCTATTAGTCAAAAACATCATCAACAGCATATATGATGTCATCATCACTGTGTTACTGGCTCCCAGCCAAGTATTTTTTCCTGTTGGAGAGCAGATGATAGTCAGATTGGGCCAAATCTAGAGAATAGGGAGGGTGATCAACCAGTTCAAAGCCACAGTCATGCACAACAACCATTGAAACCAAGCATGTGTGTGCTGAAGAAATGTCCTGATGAAACAGCAGCCCTTTCGTTAGTTTTCCTGGGTGCATTTAGTCTTGATAGCCTCTTGTAACTGCCTCAGCAAGTTGACATAGTACTCTCCATTGATGGTGTGGCCCTTTTGAAGATAGTCATTAAACACAACGCCATCTGCATCCCAAAAAATTGAAGCCATCACCTTCCTTGAAACAAACTTTGCTTTCTTTGGAGCAGGTGAGGAGGGGTGTTTCTACTGCATGGATCTCCCTTTTCCTCCTAAAGTCAGCTGTCCATTTTTGCACTATTGATAAAGCTGGAGTGTCATCCCCTAATGTAATAATCTTATCAGCATAAATGTTTTTGGTGGCTAAATCCTATTTCTGCAGGTACTCTATAACACCACAATGCCAAATTTTGTCCATATTCTACAGAAGTTGCTTCTAGTTACTTCTTTGAACTGTGAGATGTCAGTTTACCTGGAAAGAGAGAATGCAGTTATTAATAAGAAGAGTTGAAATGAATGCATGCAAGATTTCACATCTCTAGCATCACTCCTTCATAGTCAGCCTATGAACTTTTCAGCCCTCCCTCACAGAAAGAACACTTGAGCTTACTAAATATAAATTTTTCTTTCTTTTATTAGAATTATTGGTTGAATCTTTCTGCTGATATTGGTTTCTGGAATAAGATTGGTTAGTTATTTGGGCTCAAGATTAATGTCAGCCTTTGGATGATAGAACATTAATAAAACTATTACATTTTTAATTTAATAACTTAGGTAATAACTAATAAAATTATTAATTTATTAATAATTAAAATATTTCACTGAGTTATTGTTTAAATTGATAAATGAGATAATTTTATTATCTCAATTTTTAATTTAATAACTGAGTGAGATAAGACCTTTGCATGTCAAGGGGCTTTCCGCAAGGAGACAAGCTTTGAAACATGTGACCTTTTAACCATAATGTCACTTATGAGATATCATACTAAAAAAAATTATAACATTTTGATGCACAAAAAAAATATTTTTAATTATGGTAAAAAGTTTTGGTAGCATTATTTGTATTAAGCCTTTAATTTTTGCTTAGTAAATATAGTCTTCACTTAAAAACTTAATAACTTACTCCACACTGGAAGAATTTTAAAATATCTTTTAAAATTAAAGAAAAATGAAAACTAAAAGAAAAATGGAAACAATTCATGGAAAAATTCTTTATTCATTGAAAAATTTTTTTTCTTCAGATGATAGTGTCCTTAATGTATATTATTTATAAAAGCAAATAAAAGCCTATTTAATTTGATAATTAGATAGTTTATTGCCATTTTTATTTTATGATTTGGAGCAGATTTTTAAAAAGTTGGCAGTAGGTGTGAAAAATAAATTGGTGATTTAATTTCTCCAAGGAGTCTTGCTTATAATATAAAACAATTTGCAAACTGTTTGAAATTCTAGAAAATTTTATAAAATTAATTTATGGGGAAGGGGGTAACAGATGTAAAGAAAAAAAAAAATTTCAAAAATAAATTCATTCATTTTTTAAGTCCTGCAAGTTTCATTAAAATCAGACAATTATTTGATTTTTGCAAGAATTTCCAAATTAATGTGTTTTCCCCCTGAAATTGCTACACTAAATTATTACAAAGTTGACAAAAAAAAAAAAAGAAAAAAAAAAAAGAGATTTTTGACTCGAATTTCGAACATGTTAGAAAGAAGGAAAAGATTTTAAAAAAATATTTTTAAAATACTTTGTTCTTTCCTCTTAATAATAACATAAACATTTTAACAATGAAACTTTATTAAGTTTGGGACCTTTTATCATTATCCTACTTTTTTTTTTTTTTTTTTTTTCATGAATTATTGGAGGTACCTAATTTTCATCATTAAGATTCTCAATATGACATTATTTTTTGGTCTACTTTTTTGGGTTCTTTCATTTATGAACATGTTGTAATCATTAAATTGTCTGAGCATTTGAAAAAAAAAATCAATCTTTGCAACCATATTTTTCACCTATGCTTCCCCTGTCTATTATTTTGATTTGCAGCCATAAAGATTGGTGTGCTCACTTTTTCCTCCATACATGGCCAGATTTTAAAGATTTCTAGATAGCATAGATCTTTTTAGTGTTCTTCATATCCAAATTTTTAGCAGGTCTTGCTTATGTACTCTGCCATAAATTGCATGGAATTATGGACATATGGTCCTTTGTCGTGTTTTCTTCCAATGTGGGGTTTTAATTTGGTGACATATCTGCATTTTTGAATACTGTCCTGATGTTAGATTATTTTCTGAATATTCTGTGCCATTTCTTTGTGTGGTAGAGTGGCTGTAATTATTTCTTTATCTGTAAGGATTGCTGACACCACTAACAAAAGGTGTAAACTGCAGCAATTTAAAACTTTCCATCTGGAATATTTGAGGTTTTGAATCTGAAATTATTCTCAGTATTATGCATATGTTAGTACGCATATGTATATGCATATATGTTAGTATGTATATGCACATATGCCTATGTTAGTATGTATATGCCTATGTTAGTGTATATATATATATATGCACATATGCCTATGTTAGTGTGTATATATATATATATATATATATATATACTAATATAGGCATATGTGCATATATATATATATATATATATATATATATATATATATACACATATGTCTATGTTAGTATGTATATGCACATATGCCTATGTTAGCTTTAACTATTTTCTTCATTTATGCTTGATTTATGACAGTCTTACTGTTTTTTAAAGTTTGACTGTCAAATTAAGTTGTTGAATAATAAGTTCCTGAAATTTGGGATGTGAGTCTTGTTAGAAACAAATTCTTTATTCTGATTTCCTGCAAGTTCCTCCAAAAAAAAAGAATGAGAAACCATTAAAGAAAGACGTGCCAAAAAGCCAGGCTACAAAGAATAAAAAAATTGGGTTCTTCCTCCCAGAAATCTAACAAAGACATTGACTTTAAACAAAGTTCCTCTTCTAAAAATGGTGGCACTGATAGTTTTGCAACCAGTAGCAATAATAATAGAAATAATAATAATTTTGGAAAAAAGAAGGTTGACAAAGGGACTGTTGCCAGTGAAGTGGGTCACAGTAAAGCGAGTTCAACCAAGGGCAAGAAGAGTAAAGGTACGTCTTTTTGTCATTCTTCTTTAATTAAAGGTGACAAAAAGCCAATATACTCAGACATTTATCATTTTTTTTTATCTTTAACTTTGTGTTGACAAATATGGGAAAATATTATATATAAATTTTTTATATATTGGAACAATGTTAGGCAAATAAATGACAAAGTGGCAAAAATTCTGTGTAACCTGTTTCATCCTCTAGGAGGACTTTGTCAGACTAAAGTAATGTTTTTTGTACATGAAATTATATGTGTATAGGATAGGGAGGAGGAGATATAAAAAATGTGAGCGTCTGTTAAAATTATGCCTTGACAGGAAACATTGAATATGTTGGAATGCTGAGGTTTTAAATTTAATCTAATTTTTATTTATTTTTCATCTGTATCTGGGTATGCGTATAATAATTTTAATTAAAAGAGAAAGCACTTTATTAAAGTAAAAAAGTGTATAGAAAGTGCTTTGATTGCTAGATCATCTATGGTAAATTTATGTCCCGGTTTTTACATTCAACCTTTCTTAGCAGATCTTCTGTTATAACAATGTGATATACTTAATAAAAGTGACAAAACCAAAAACAGAAGGGGAAACTAAATGAGACTGCATGTTCAGATATGTTTGGCAAAAAAAAAAATTAAATTTAGACATTTCTGCATTCTAACATCTTCAACGTTTCCTCTCGATGCAAAATCCAGTCTTTGGAACAGGAGTAGAGGTCTATCCCTTGTTTCTTGTTTATGATTGGCTTTCTGTTTCCTTTTAAAGTCTACTTCAATTCTATACTTCTAATGTCTTTGTCTAAAACTGAACTTTTATTTACTATTGAATTACTTTTTCTTTTCTCAATAGAAGTAGATAGGTTCACCTATCTTCCAGCTTATACTTCACCCTGGTTTTTGAACAGGAGTAGAGGTTTTTCCTGTTTATGATTGGGTTTCCAGATCCATCTAAAGTGTTTTCCTTATGTAACCCTCTACCTTGAGTGGCTCCTAGGCTTTATACAGGGTGGATATCATTGTAAAAAAATAAAATGAATGATTGAAGAATAGATCAATTAAAATTGGGATAAAAGGCTGTAGCAACAATAGCAACGATGAATAAAAATTAATGAAATATTTGTGACTTAACCATGTGATTTGTCAAGTTGTTGATTATCATTCAATTTGCACCCTACCATTGATAAATCTATGGGTTGTTGATTTTGTTTTTTTTTTTTATAAATTCCAATTGAAATAGATAAATAAATCTTAAAAATCTTTTAATCCTTAAAATAATGTCCTCCACCCTAGTCGGCGTAAATGCCAATCTCATAATATTATCAATCAGTTGCAAATCACCCGGACCAAAATGAAGATGACCTAAGGAATTAGACTTTTTGTATTTTGCAGATAGGTACAATAACAGTGACTATCAAGGCTTTAGAGTTATTCCCCCTTACATTAAGAAATAAGCTTATCGTGCCTGTATAAATTCTTAGATTATTTTTTATTTGTTTTTTTTTACAATGATTTTCATCCTCTACAAGGCTCAAGAACCACTCCAGTTAGAGAGTTACAGAGTAAGCAACATCACCCCAAGCAAGATGATAATGCCACTAGACTGGCGTTGAAATCTCATCAGTTTGCAGTTGAGCTTGTTAGATATAACCGTAAATTTTATGCTAACAGTTTCTTTCCTTCGCTTGTGGGACTCCCTTCCAGCTCCATGCTTTTCAGCCAACTTTAATCTGCAAAGATTTAAATACAATGTCAATCGCTATCTGCTGTCTTCTTGATTACTCATCCTCTGTTCTCATTCTTTAGCAATATTTCTGTTTCTAACTCTTCCACACTTAGTAAACCCTTGTGTCTTAGTGGCTTTACTGCCTTGCTTGGAGTGAACTTACACAAGGGGTCACTGGAAGTAAAAGAGAAGGAAAAGATAAATTTCTTCACTGATGAAATAAAATGAAATAGCATTTGTTTTAATTAGCAAATGTTTTTAACCTACATTGAGAGAATTTTGGTGATAATCTTTTACATTAGAAAAACAATTCTTTATAATTCATTGATTGATGGGTAACGTAACTCTTTCATCTTTATAATTCCTGCTTGCATGGTAACATTAAGATTGTTTCTTTTTCAGATATCCTAATGTTATGATATTGACAACCTCAAATATCACAGGTGCAATTGATCTTGCATTTGTTGATCGAGCTGACATCAAACAATATATTGGTCTGCCTTCACCAAAAGCTATCTTCCAGATTTATCATTCCTGTATTACTGAACTTATGAGGGTAAGTCTTTCAAATTCCTTGTAAAAGTAAAAGAAGAAAAATACCCGGAAAGTAATCTAGTATTCTTTCGTAATCTGTATTATTTTATAGTAACGAGATGAACTCCTTCATTCATCATTTTTGTCTTACAAGCGATAAAAATCTCAATCAAAGTGATAGAAAATTCAAAAGATAGGAAATATATAATCATCTTGGATTCCATATCTAGTTTAACAGCAATTAAAGAAAAGATCACAAATCATTCCTACATTCAAGAAATCCTAGAAACTTGTCATCCTTTAATAAAGTACAAAACAGTAATATTGGCCTGGATTCCTAGTTATATAGGCCTTAAGGGAAATCATGAAGCCAACACACTGGCAAAAGAGACAATGAAAATAACTAACATCAAATTTCCAAAGACAGATTATAAAAACAAAATTACACAACACATGAAAAAAAAAATGGCAAGCAATTTGGGACATGTTCTCAAATAATAAATTATATGAGCATCAACTGACAATAAAAAAGGAGAATATAGAGCCATTGGCTGATTGCAGACAAGAAATGGTGCTCAGCAGAATATGAACTGAGCACAGAAACTACACCTCGGTGTACCTACTGCGATTAATTTCTCATGATCAAATATATCTTGGTAGAATGTTAAGAAGCACAAAAAAATACGTAGCAACTATTACCAAGCACAATAACATTCTTTTCAAAAATGTGCCTCCTGCCCAAAATAATAGGATATCTGAAGAAAATAAAATACTTCCAACTTCTATAGAAAAATAGAGCTTGGATTTTGAACCATACAAATTATGTTTTGAAATACTCCCGAACTATGCAGTTGGAGATATTTTGTAATATCCTGAACTATACAACTTGTGATGTTTCAGAATCACTTCTAAAACCTTACAACCACTTGAAACATTTTGATGAATAAAAATCCAGTTTCAGCATTAAATGACCTATCGTGGTTGATGCTGGTAAAACAAATAAACAATCAATCATCATTCTTGTATATTATTCTGCTGCTTTGACCATTAAATATTTCTACCTCAGCTGCATTTCATATTGGCTCAATTTTTCTGTGTTGGAATGAGTTATGCTTTCTGACAGAGGAAACTAAAAAGTAAATATTAAATGGAAAGAGTGGATGTGTAGTTGGTGTAGTGGATAGCCACTTGGAATGAGAAATCGGAGGGGTGTGTTCAAATTCCAGTCGGGTTTGTTACAGTCAGTTATGCACAAATAGTTTTGGGAAAAGATATTAATTCATCTACCCCAGTTATGGCTTAAATATTAGGACTTGCATCTGGAAAAATCACTGTTATTTTCAAAAAATTGTTCATGCAATATTCACTTGCCAAAAAAAGAATTATTCTAAATCTAAAATGTTTTGACTTGAAATAATCAGCAAAGAGTTGGTAAACTGTAAAAAAAACAATCAATAGGTGGGGATAAATTGGGTAATAAGAGGGAGTGGAGAGAGATGATGATGATGATGAAAAGATAAGTTTTAAGAAAGATAGGAAAATAAAAAGAAAACTATTTGAAAGAAAAAAAATAGATATGTGTATATATTAGGTTGTCACACATGAAATAAGGGAATGAATAAAACGCTTCTGAAATGTTAAATAACTAATTTATTTAATTGAAATAGGCACCATGTTGATGAGTAACAGTTCTTCAACATCCCTTTAAATTCTTGATCTGATCTTTAAAACATTCTCATCTTTTGATGTGATAAACAGTTCAAATGCTTCGATTACCTCTTCCTAATTGAAGAATGTTTTATTGCCTGTGAAAATATCAAAATAAGGGATAATCAGTAGGAGAGATATCGGGTGAAGATAATAATTCATAATTCAGGTTATGCAGCTTTTGGGCATTTTATTAAGAATCGTGCGGCCATGCCTTGTCATGCAACAAAATTGGCCCATCCCTATTCACAAGTCTAGGCAGTTTCTTTTTCAATTTTCCGTGCATACACTCAATTTCTTCACAATATGAGTTTGTTGTTGTTGTTTTTACTTGAGGCAAGATTGAATAAAGAATAACCCCTTTGAAAGACCACCATACAGTAACCATTAACTTTTTAAGGTGCAGTGAAGGTTTTGGGTATTGTTTTGGTGATTGACTTGCATCTAACCACTGGACTACTCTCTTACTATTGTCAAAGAGTATCCATTTCTCTTGTAATGATTTGATGCAAAAATGGTTCTTTTTCCCCAGTTTGTACTCGTACAGTAAGATTACTTGACATTGTTTCATTGTAATCATTTTCATTGGGTTTACGAGTAACAATATATTGAAAGGAAAATTATCTGGAAAGAAAAAGACTTAGTAATAAGTCAAGATTTTTTTTTATATATAAGGAGGTTAATTTGTTAGACAACCAGATGAACAACCAACCAAAAAATGTGTCATTTCATGTATGACAACCTAATATATATAGAGAGAGAGGAAGGAAAGAGAGATGACTGCAAAAAGAGAGACAGTGACAAAGTTTAACCTTTATATCTGCAAAAGGACATTTTTTTTTCTCTTGACACTGCCATTATGTGTAAAAACCCTTGACAATTTTGATGTTTTTTTTTTATCATTACTTTTATTGGCTCCCATTGCACATAACAAAAATGGTTTTCTAACTCTTGTGCATATATAACCCAAGGACAGTTTAACAGATTGATAACATTTACTCAACAAATGCTAGCTAGATTTGATTGACTTTTTAGCTTTTGTGTTTTATATCTGATTGTGAAAATGTTTCTATGTTTTTCTACTGGAAAATACAATCTTGGCTTTCATTCCATCATCATATGTTCACTGTTCTTTCAGAGAAACAAATAAATAATATATGTGCTTTATTTCTTTTAGACTGGAATAATTTCCCCGGTTCAACTGATGCTGGATATTAGAGCCTTAGAAATCACCAGTTATGCAGAGAATGATGCCACCAGACTCAGCTTGCAGCTTCTTAGAATTTCTGAGTAAGTTTTCTTATTACCCACTCCTGCCTCGTTAATTATAATCACCTCCACAGCATCTATGATGCAGACATCTTTTACAATTTTTGAAGAAGATCTGCCATTGCCTAAAAGTTTAGATAAAAAAAACAAAGTAAATAGAAAAATAACAAGGAGTTAGGGTTTCAGACTTAAAGTTATCACTGGTACATAATATTGGACAACAGGGGGTGCCTCGACATGGTGTAATGGTCAGCAAACTTGTCTAGACTGAACAATTACAACTGAATAGTGAGATTGATCCTCACTGGGTGCTCCATACTTTGAACAACAGATCAGTTTCTGTATTCTTTTTGAAACAATGAATTATGGAGACTGACAGATACAAGAGACAAAAGCTTTTACTGTACAATATGGAGATATAGACATGAGTGATTTTACTTAACACTCTGTACACATACGCTAAATATATACATAAAAAAAGACGTGCTTCTTAAAGAAAGAATGCAGTCTTTAAATTCCAACAGAACATATTGAAGCTTCTGTCATAAAAACTTTTATTGGTTTGCACAAATCAACACTTTTGATACGAGTGTGTTGAGATTTTATAGTAAATGTTTATGGGCTCTTGGAACATTTCTCTTGCAAACAATATTGAAATATTCATGTGAGCCTGGGTAAAAATAAATACACAAAACAATGAATTTAAAATGATCAACAATTAATACAGATTATCACCAAAAGGAATTACATGTGTACACAATGGAATTCAAACGAAAAGACAATAAAAAGCTATAAGAATATGCTTGTTTATGTGTGTATGATACACATGTGTGTATGTTAAAGAGATCAGTCAACAGAGGATCAAGAAAGCGAATGTGTCAGTGTTCTTTATCTGTATTCAACTATATCAAGAAGCAAGAGGAAAAAACAGAGAATAGTGCACCTCCTAATGGGCAATTTTGGCAAAGCCAAGTGGGATAGGCCACAAACCCCAACCCTTTTCATCTGTCTACATTACAACCTCTCATCACTGCTATTTCTACTACATATACAGATGGAAAATACTGTCCTGTATTTAGCAACCATTACAGTGTGTAGTGGTTGAATGATTAAATGTAAATTGCAATTTCAGAGTGTTGTGGAGTTTTTGCAATGGAGGCTTGTATTTGTACTAAATCGGTCCTAAGTTGTTAGACATTCAAAACGTTAGGAACTTGATATTACGCAAAGTAATCTTGTTGTGGTCACTGACTACTTTCGTATTCGACTACTGTCATCTGACATCGACTGACCCTCATTTCTCTTACTATTCCTACTTATATTAGGTGGGAGAGTCTATTAACTATAGAATAGGTGTGTTTCACCATAACACAGAGGAATCTGAACGCAAAGAGATGAATGTGTAAGAAATGACAAAACTGTATTTGTAAATTAATCAAGAATAACTTTATTTCGATTTAGTAAGAGATTTGCTCCCAAAATATTGTCAGTTCAACTTATCAAGGAACAAATGTTTTTGTGTAAACCATATAGATCTGAGACTGGGCAGTCCTGGGTATGATGGGGAACTACATCTGACAGCAAGGCTTTTGAGCAGGAGATTGGAGGTTTTGAGGAGTGTGGAACCACCTGTTAATTGTTGTTGTTTCCAGGTCCACCCTGACCAGGGGTGGCAGCACCTGTTAGGGTCTTAGCTATGGGCAAATAGTGTCACCCCAAACAAAACAAAACACTATGAAAGTATAAAATTATATTTTTATAGTAAAATTACCAGCAATACTTTTTTATATTGTAAAATGATCAACAATACCTATTTATAGCATACATTTTATCTGTAGTTGAGCACATACAATTTCGTTTAAAATTTATTTAATTGAAGCCATAAAATTGTCCAAAATATTTAGATTTCAACATTAAATAACCTCCAAAGGTTGATATGCTGCTAAACAAAATCAGGCAAACAACCAACATGAAAGGACTTTTTCATGACATTCATCCATATAATATCCTATAATTTCTTAAAGAAATGATACTGTGTACCAAAATATAACTTCAATAAAACTACAACATAAAACGCACATATCATCGTCTCTAGTAATTATGTCCACAGAAACATGCATATGCACAAAAGCTGAGTATCATCTACCATGTATTCAATTGTGAAATCAGAATAACATATATCATATTTTTATTACTTCAAAGCTCCCAAGAAAATTAAATTTCATCATTAAATGACCCATGAGGAGTTGATATGCCATTAAACAAACAAATCAATCTAAGACTGGGATGGATACGTAAATGTACAATACTTCTCACCCAAGCTTTCTCCTGACTGGTGAATGATTGACCAACCCCCTCCCCGCCCATTGCATTTCAATCCTTGATCTCATTGGTGTGCACTAAAAGCTTGGGAAGTTCCTGCTGCATGCTCACAAGGTAACATATGATGAAAGACAAACCAGATGTTGAGAAATAAAAATGTTGTCCCTGCTTCCTGTATCATATATAAGGGTTTTATTCAGGGCTTCACCTGGGTGGGTGCATAGGTAACAATGTTGATCTTACATTTCCCTTTACCAGCTTCTCACACATCTACGCATCTCGATGTGTGACTGGTAATATGAACGGGTGGCTTCGGAACCACACGATGGACAAATTCGTCTCCCACCAAAGGCAGACAAGCACTAATTCCTCAATCCCATGATTTACTATTTAATATGACATGTTCGACAGAGGAGGGGCATATTCAACAAAAAATAAAAAAATTGCTTTTTTCACTGCAAATTATTCATTATATCATATCCAAGTATTTTATAAAAAAAATTAGAGCCGATTGTGCAATATTTCAAGCTCTATAGTTTGTAACCATGCAACGAGATGAGATAACATAAACTGTAGATTTGTCTACGGAATATTACATTATTGTTACATAATTATAATGAAATCATTAAGGTTTTTTTGTTAAAAGCATTTTATTTTTGGTCATAGATTACAATATTCCTTTTTACAGGCTTTATTTTAGAAATGATATAAGATAATTCTAAACTTCAGAATTTCACTATTGCCCATCAAAATGACTAGAAGAAAGCGATCTAAAAACAACAATGGAAAAGAGAGGTAACAAAGCGTAAACGAAATAGCTCCAGTTTCTTCAACTTAGGAAACTTAACATTGCAGCCGAAGTATTCCAAAATGCTGCCAATAACAAAAGAGAGAATGAAAAATACCTAACAACAAATTGAATATAGAATCAAAATTTATATTATTTTTATTTATTTGTTATGTAACTAAATACATAATTGTTGACTATTTCTGTAAAATTTGATATTTCCTGTAACAAATTCTTAATAAATATTATTATTATTGTTATTATTTTACTTAGGTAGTCCTACATTTACAATTCCTTACAGGCAACCATGAAAAGGAATGTTGATCAAAACTGCCTAAAACCTTTAAGTGGATATTGCCACAAAATTATCACCCCCTCTTCTGCCAAACACATCATATAGACCAGCAAGTGAATACCCCCATGTCAGGTTTTGTTGTCACTTAGTCCCCAAAAGAGCACAACCACTCTTCCCATCCCCTTTGGTCAAAGTGGATGGCGCTTACAGAATTTCAAAGAACCACTTCCTGGCCATAAAACAAATCTTTGAGAAAAAAAAAATCCCATCTTTCTTTTCTACGTGGATGTCTGTATTTTTTAAAAATATAATTAAATAAATATCTTTTTATTTTATTTAATACATAGATTTTACTAAGGAAATCTTAGAAATGATAAAAATCAATTTCTAATAAAGGTTAAGATTGTAGGGAACAGGGAGGCATCCCCTTGGGTGTCCTTTCCACATTGTAACAGTACTGGGGAAAAAACTGTTTGAGCGGAACTTGCTCCTTAGAATATGAAGGGTTTGATGATGAATTAATTAAGTATACATAGCGTGGTGGGGGGTCCTAGCTGTGAAGGTCTGAACTGGTGGAACCAAGGAATTTAGTTTGCTTGGGCAGCTACCAACAAAATAGTGGTAGAGCAGAGAGAGTCAAGAATTGTTCTGTCTGGGGAAAAGGGGTTGAAGGTTGAAAAACAATTCATCACACACAAGGATGTGTAAACTGTTATATTCTGAACCTACTGCATCTTGCATCTCTCTGGTTTGTTGCTAAATGTGAAAGATAGATGTTTTGCTTTTTAATTTTTTCACCTTGTCTAAAAATACTGTTCATCTACTTACATACTTGTAAAATCCTACACCAGAAAAATATTATTGTGCCTCGTATTCTTCAGGTGGATAAGAGCCTGACATTTTGTTTTAATTCTTATCTTTTGTATTTGTCTCTTTTTTTTTTTTTTCCAGAGAAAGTTATGGACTGAGTGGAAGAACCTTACGGAAAATGCCATTCATGGCTCATGCTATGTTTATTCGAGTGAGTTGTGTATTTTAGTTTTAATTTCATTCAGTTACAAATATCTTTTTTCTTCTTTTTCTTTTTTTTTCTTTCATTCACATCTTGCTGATAATTTGAGCATTTCTTTCTTTTTTTTTTAATTTATCAGCAAGGTTACCAAGTTTTGTCCTATTGTTTAAAATGCACAGTTTTGTCTAATTTCTCATTCTGGGCATTTTTTATTTAAAAATTTTGTTTGTATTAAAAATACTAAATTTTTAAAATCTTTTTTATGAAATAGTTTCATTGGAAATTATATTAATTTGGAATTTTGAAATAAAGAATTTCTCATGTAATCCTGAGATTTGAACATTTGGGGTGATGACTGAGGATGGTGACATGGCACTGAAGGATGACAAGATGCATCCCAGAGGAAGGCTGAAGAATATATTGGCCAAAATACTATGGAAAATATAATTTGTGGGATAATTTAAAATAATATTTTTTCATTATTAAAACTGTTTACTATAAAAAATGATGATGGCTTACAGCATATTGAAAAAGCAGTTTCTGTATGATCACTGAAGTTAAGCAACATCAAGCCTGGTCAGCACCTAGTTGGGTGGCCTTTTGGTAATACCTATGGGAAATTTGTTCTGGCTTTCCCACATGAAAGGGTTATGGTTAAATGCAACAGAATCGATTATAGCAACAACGGCTTAAAAGATTAGAATGGACAATTCTCTCTAGCAGGTAGATCTATTTCTTGAAACAGGTTCCGAAGATGACTGGTGTTCTATTGCTGACCTGATGTTATCACAGACAGTGTCAAATACTCACTGCCAGAAAGGTGTATATTTTCTGTATTTATCAAGATTAGAAGGCTCAAGAAATATCGGGAACTTTTCCCTCCAAAATTGCTATACCTTTTCCCAGCCCCCTCTTATTTGAGCTACTTGAAATGCTAGAAAAGCTTAATTTGCACAGGGAAGATATTGTGTGATTGTAAGAGAGACAGCCTAGGATATAAATGACTTTTTGGTAATGGTAATCAGTGAATTTGGCCAAGATTTTTTCAGCACCACTTTGGACAAAAAGAAATGCTTTTCAGTCTTTATTGAATTTAATTTTTTTTTTTTTTTTTTTTTTTCAGGCTTCAACTGTGACCCTGGAAGGTTTTCTGGAGGCTTTGATAAACACAATCAAAAAACAATTTGAAGATCGGAAAATGCTCAATGAAGAATAATAATAATAATATTAAAGAATTTGTTTAGTTGTGAATTTTGAGACATGAATGCTATGAAAGTGTTTGCCAAATGTGAAACTGCTTGAAGAGTGTGAATTGGGTTTTATGGTGCTAAAAGTGTTAATATATTTTTTTAAAATTTCTTTGGACATTTTCTCATTTCATCTGCTATTGCAAATCGAGTGAATGTGAACGTTTTTAAGTAGTATGGAACTGATTCTTTAAAGACAGACGGCTGAAATTGTCTAAGAGTTGAAATTTTGCTAGCCACCCCCTATAACCTAATGAACAAAGTTAATATCTTGTGTGAATTGGGGATTGTTTCAGGTGAGGTGGCAGCAAACTAAAGTCTTCTTTTTAATGTTTGTGATTTTGATTTCAACAAAATCAAACTGTACATGCAAATAATCATTTCTTAATCCAAGAGTTGTTTCGAATTTTGAATTCATTCACATTTTGGTTGGTCTATTCTATAGCCTCTTTTTTTTTTTTTATCAGCTGTACAATTCTTAAAGAAAGAGTATGTTTTTCTAATAAATACTGGCAAATATACATACTGGCTCCTCATCAATGCACAGTCCTATTCTTAGCAATCAGTGCAATGTAAGTGATTCCATATTTAAAGATGAGAATGCTCTGTAACCTGCTGAGCAAAAAAAAAAAAAACCCCAAAAACAAAGAAATAACGCTGAAATCTGTAGACATTTGATTTCTTCACCTTTTTATTGGTTTTATCAAAATGTTGATTGAACAACAAAAACAATGTAATGAATTACAATCATCTGAACATTTATTGGATTGATAATTGATTAAATGATTCTTCTCAAAATGATACAAAGATTATTTGTAAAAAAGAAAAAAAAATGCAATTAGCAATTACTTAAATTTCTTTTTAATTTTTTTTTCAAATATAAAAAAACTAAGATTCACAAAGATTCAAAATAAGATGTTTTTTTTTTTTTAAACTGTCTTGTTTACTTTTTAAATACCCAAAGTTTAAATAAAAACTGAAATAAGCAAAATGTTCAAGTTCGGACAAAAGTAGTACAGGAAAAAAAAAACGGTGTTCAAGCTCAGACAAAAGTCTATATTTCCAATGCTCTTTTTTTTTTTTTTTTTTTTTTTTTTTTTAAGGCAGATACGCCCTTCCTTACATGGATGATTAGTGTATTACTATCTTTCTACACTGCTTTCTTTCATTTGACATTCAGTTAGAATTAATAAACTTTTCTCTCAATCACACACGTATGTGTGTGTCTTTTAATTTGTATAAATTTTAAGTGAATTAACTTTCAAAGAAATCTCTGATCAAATTATAAAAAAATAAAAAATTAAACTACCTTTAAAATTGCCATCCATGTAGATATTTTCTCTTGTTTTGAAACACAATCAAAATATTAGATTTCTTCCTACTGTTTTCCTTACAAGTTGTTTTGAACATTTAATTGCATATAAGAGATCCCCCCCTCCACATACACACACTCATCTCCTTTCAAAAATATCTCTTAGGTCTTGTATACAAAATTAGGATAACCTGGTAGAGTTAGTGCTTACTGGAATTTTGAAGACTACTAGTGCTTGTATCTTGCTTGATTCCATAATACTGTAATGCAAATGGTGGTTTGTGGTGTGGAGGCCTTAAATTTGAATCATTTTAAATTGTCTATTCTTAGAAAGATGATTTGTCTGTTGGAATTAAGGAAGATTCCAATTTGTATCTGCATCCTGAGTAAGATGATAAACTATGTCCAGCAGTAAGGCCTCTGATCAGGAGGTTATGAAGAGTGTGGAACCACCTCTTAATTGCTGGTGTTCCCAGGTCTGCCCTGATCCGGGGTGGTAACACCTGTTAGGATCCCAGCTATGGGCAAATTGTTAACCCTGAAATTGGGGTAAAAACACTATGAAAGTGTAAAAATAGGTTTTAATACAAGCAATACTTTGTAAAAAAAATTCTTACCAACAATACATTTTTGAAGGAAAAATATTACCAAAAATAGATTTTTGATAAAACAAAATATTACCAGCAATAAAACTTTTGTCGGCATTACATAACCCATTGAGGTTGATATGCTGTAAAACAAACCAAACCAAAATCCAATTTTTATCTGACAGTTGTGATGTCATCTTAATTTGAATAGAAAGAAGATTCTGTTGTTCATCCAATTGTTTGGTCCCTATTTTATCAATGTTATTTTGAATTTATTCTGTAACTAAAGATCACAAACCAAACGTCCACCATTATAAGGCTTTTCAGGTTCGATTAAATGTAGTGAATCAAGCTATCTATATTTAAATGCTGAACATTACTCGATTTTGAATTGACTTTTTTTCTCAGTAGCCCAAGGTTGTCCACTTTACTACATTAAAATGTAAGCTACATAAAAGTCACATGATGTGAAATTCAAAATTTATTGTCCTAATCTGATAAGCCTGACTAGCACGATCATCACCAACAGTAGACATTGTGTTATTGTTTTGCAAAGGTAACATTATTAGGTCCAGCAAATTAAATTTCTTTTCCTTTACAAAAACATGTTTCAGATTTGCTTGTCAGCTGTATATTTTATAGTGTGCTGGCAAAAGGTCACAGTAATGGGAGAAGCTAGGGTGCAACTTAGAACAATTGAATTGGCCTGTAAGTCAATGCACTACAGTAGGCTCCCACCACTAAGTCTTGTGTAATATTGGTTAATTATTTTAAAATGAGCACCGGAAGTGTCAAAATGTGTGTTTGAAAATTTTTCTTGTCTGAACAATCATTAAATATTCTATCTTGTTTATGATACATTATTTGTTTTCTTAATGACTTGCAACTGCTGTTTAGTTGTTAGGTAGAAACTTTTTTTTTTTTTTTTTTTTTTTACCTATTATTCATATTTTAGTATTTTACTTAATTTTCATTGCATCTATTAAAACTTAGTATATTGTGTGGTTAAACACCTGTGTTGTGTTTTAAAGTTGTATTCTTTTTATTTCTTTTGCTATAAAAAAAAAACAATTTCATTTGTCACATGAAAAAGCAATGTTGACATTTTAGCAAAGAAAATTGTGATTCACTCCCACTTTTGAAAGGTAGAGATCTCTCTCTATCCTTTTTTTTTTTTTTTAAAAAATTCTAAAAATATTCAACAATATTTAAAAGAAAAAAGTTTCCCCTGCTGATATTATTTTTTAAAAAGTTTTTCAACATTATAAAAGGCATAAATAACTATAATTTGCATTCTGAAATTTTCACTTCAAACATTCTTATAACCTGAATGAAATTGTAAAATTTGTAATTTTATTATTTAATTTTTTCCTCATATCTAATGACAAATGCTTATCTTGTCTTTATTCTTGATGAAATGTCTTGGCATTTTTAATTGTTCATGAAATAAATAATTACTTTTATATCTTAATAAAAATCTTTGTTTTTGCAATATAGACGAATGCACCTCACTTGAAACGTTGGTGTGTCACAATCCTCCTAATCTAAAGCTAAATTACCCAGAGTTTGTCTCCTGGTTAAAATATTTATGTATTAGTGTTTCAGTTTAGGTTAGTTAGCCGTCTTGTCTGCTGGTCTTTTTCAGATGTCGACCAATCCAGGTAAACTTTAAGGAATTTTGAACTGAACTTTTCTTTAAGATTTTATATATCTCTGTGATTAGATTGTTTTCATTTCTACCATCGTCCCTACAAAACTAAATATCCAGCCTTGTTTAATTTAAGCCTGTTTCATACTAAACTAAGGTTAGTCAATATAAAAATTTAAAGCATTTATAGTTTAAAAAAAAGTAAACCTTTATTTGTTGGTGTGTTTCATTCTGAGCTTTTTCTTTGAACAACTGATAACATTGATTTGAATCTGGACAAAAGAGTGGAGATGATGTGTTCACTGCTTCAAGGCTGATAAACAAGGAATGATAATTTGAATTCAATATTGCATTTTTAAATGAGTGATATCTCGAGCGAGGAAGATGACATGTCTGAAATATGAGATAATTGAACATACGTAAAAATGTGTCAGGTGTACATAGACATTTTTCATTAAACAGGTCCAGATGTGTCTTTTTGTGAGGATGATTGTATAATTTCTTTTTTTTCTTTTTACTGGTCAGAATTTTTTAGATTAGGATCCCTATCATAAACCTTTGTTGCTACACTTGTACTATTAGAGATATGGTTATTGTTTTTGTGAGATTTTGTAAGAACATGAAAATGGTTTGTCTTCTGACATATATTTAGCCAAGATGAATAGATATGTGATAAAACTAAATACTGAATGAACTATTATAAATTATATAGCCCTTTTCTCTTGGTTACATACACTACCAGTAACAATTCATTTCTTTTTAGCTTTCAACGTATTTCTATTGTAGTGGAGTTACCTTTTTATATTTAATGAAAAATAGTATTGGCAACTCCTGGAATGTTTTCTCCAACAAGAGATAGGAATGGAATAACAAAAAATATTGTACATATAATTAACATTTTATTGCAGCTTCTATGTCCCTTCAGGATGTTGGTGATCATGGCTCTCCACAATTTCTTGTTCTTAATAAATTTTGTTTGTCATCTCTTCTAAACTTTGTTCTGCTATCCATTTACTCAAGCTCACTGGGTAGGTTATGTGTTGTTTTCCTTTGTCCCCTTTGCCTTCAATTTGTCCTGTGAGTATCAAATTTCCCAAGCCCTCTTTCCTCATTATGGGCATTAGAAATTTTTGCTGTCACTTCCTGATGTTAAGTATGTGTCCCTTTTCATTTTCTCTAAAACTTTGTCACGTGTTGATCACTTATTTGGTACATGATATTCTCAGCATCCTTCTGTAGAACCATATTTCTGTTACTTCAAATCTGTGAGAAGATTGTCCAGCATTCACTGCCATACAGGGAGACTGATATTATGTAACAGTCCAGTACTCTTTTCTTTGTTTCTAACAAAATTTTTCTGTTTCTTGATACTTTGTTTAGCATCTTTCACTATTCCATTGTACCTTCAGATTTCAGTGTCACAATTTCCATCGTTTGTTAAGACACTTCCCAGATATTTAATCCTTTGTATTTGTTTCATTTTGACATTTTCAGTTTGTATTTTGCATGTTGGGCTGTGTCCCTTTTGCTGACGACCATATATTCTGCCTTCTCACTTTCTTTTACTATCTTCTGTAAGAGTTTTTGTAGTTACCTTTCTATGTCTGCTATCAACACTGAGTGATCTGTATATTGTATGTTGTTTAAATTGTAGCTGCAAATAATGAATCCTGGTAGAATTGCCTCACTCTATAGGTTGAATAAATCCGGTGAGAAGACACATACTTGTCTTACACTCCCTTTCTATTCATTTTCTATCCCCATGCAGGTGGTTTGCTGCCAGAGTAGAACAGGAAAAATTTAAAAACATGTAAATTAAAGTGTGCATATAAAGATGTCTTTATTTGTACATAAGGTTTGTGTAAATTTCTATTGTAGATGCTTAAGAGACTTATATTGGAGAAGAATTTTTTGTTAGTTTGGTAGAGCTACCATCTTAGGGCATTTGAATGCTGTGTTGTGTACAATGTGACACATGGTTCGCTGGGGATTAAAAAGACCCTGCTCCAGGTAAAAATGAGACATGACCCTGTGGTATATTGTGGGTAAGAAGAATAAAGAGAGATAAACTGAGGTCATGCTCCCTTTTTCAAATAATGCTTTTTGGTAACACCATTTAGAAGTCTCTAGCAGAAGTTCTATTACAGACAAATGGCATAAACTTACACTGTCTTAAAATAATTACCAATGTATTTACATTTTAGATGTAATAGCCATAACATCTTCATAATGTCATTCATTCCTGACTGCAGACAATCCTTTCTTCCTAATTTTCAATGCATTTCTTTATGAGAATAATTAGCAATGTCTTTCCTTCATACTTATAATAGCCCTATTCTGTCAGTAACACTAGAATTAATTTCTGACCGCTGACAAACGCTTTTTTCAGGATTTTATATACAAAACTTCCAGTGAAATTATTGGTAAGAATTACACTATTTGCTTTTCATCAACTTTTCTTCTCATCACGAATGTATTGTTCGAACAGACATTGACTATGGCGGTTGGTTGGTTGGGTCAGTAGTTAGTGATGAAAGCCTAACCCATACATAGAGATGTTGGGTTCAAATGCAGTTATTGCTAAAATGCAAGAACCATTATTTTCCCAAGAACAAATGAAACTCGGTAATTCAGTGG